CATCTAACCCCCTTCCTCTCCCATCTCTCCCCCCTCTAGGCCCCTACTCCTCAGCCTGCCCCTACCACTTCCTCCCCTCCTTCAACCTCTCCCTTCTCTTTGCTTCTCCTCCCTCGCGCTCCCATTCCTCCCCTTCCCCCCCCACTCCTTTACCCACCCCTTTCCTCTAGTCTCCCCCTCTCTCTCTCGCCTCCCCTTCCCCCTATGAAAGGCTGTTAGGCGCTCCTTCTGCACACAGCACTGCAGATGAGGCCTCCACCTCCCCCACAGTCTGCCGGGCCTCTCTCACTCTCTCTCCTTCAGCCTCCCCCACCACTCCTTCCCTCCCTCCCTACCTTCCTCTCTCGCACTCCTTACAACAGCATAGCAACACTGACTAGCGAGCAAGGCAGAGTCTTGCCTCCCTCCCTCTCTCCCGCCTGCACTGGGGTAATTTCCCTCCATTTTAGATTCCTCATCCCAGGGCGGCAAAGGATGGCATTTTTAATTAACTACTATGAGGTAAAAATAGATGAAGTGAATCGACGCATCGTACTTCACTCAATTCACCTGTGTGTAGGATAGTGAGACTCACAAGGTGTCAGTGATCGATCCCTACTCTGGGAGAGTGCCATCCGTCCAATGGTGCAGCTCATCAAAGGGTTAATAATGTTCCATCTCTAATCATAGGTAACATGCAGGCATGGACCATTTGATAAAGCTAGGAGGTTTTATAGCTTTCTGGCAAACATACCATGATAACATGTTTTCTTAAAACAAGGTTTACTTCAAATGTGTAGCTGTCACAGATTTCTGTCAGCCAGCTGGATTCAGGAACTGAGAGCAGAGGGTTTCACACAGGTGCTGAGGTATATTTTCAACTTGGGCCCTGTTAAAGGCACAATGTATAACTTCACCATCAGCATATCAAAAAACTAGAAGAACCTCTTTGAATTAGAACACAAACATTAAGTTCACTTGAAAATACACGTTTCCTCAAATCAAGTATGCTTAGGTGTGAGATGCATAGTGTTGGAGATATCATCCGTAAAGATGTCTGCCTTTTCTGGAATATAATGGAACTAGATGGTAGAAACAAGGCAGATATCTTTACAGCAAATCCCGACAAAGAAATGCAACGCTGGAGGAAAAATAGGTTTGTTTGATTTTGGTGTTAACTGTCCCCTTTAAAGGTGACCAGCATATTTATATTTATTTTAGAGATATAAAGAAATAGCATCCCACCTGTCACCGTTCTATCTAAAAATGAATAAGCAATGGACATATTCTTCAAGTTGATGATTGATATTCAATTTGCTCATTTCAACTGTTCAACAAATACGTTTCAATTATTTCAGTGAAAGTATCATTTGCATCAGGCTAAGACTGGCAAAGACATTAGAGTCCTGCGGGAGTAAGACTGGCAAAGACATTAGAGTCCTGCGGGAGTCACGAGGGAGGCAAAGAGGAGGCAAATCCTACTTTGATTGAGCTAAGTATCGCTGGTGTTTTATTTTATTTGGTTGCTGAGCCCCTCATGCTATAATCATGTGTATTTTCTCCATTCCTGTTCATGTGTCTTCTCGCAATTATCACTGGCCCTGTGTATCTCGTAATCGATATAACCGGCCTGCTCTCGTCTATCCCACATGCTCCACTGAGATCCAACATCTAGTTTCAGGTGGCCTGTGGAATTGCCAGTCAGCTGTTCCTAAGGCTGACTTCATCTCTGGCTACGCCTCCCTGCAGTCTCTGGATTTCCTTGCTCTCACTGAGACCTGGATTACTCCATCCAACACATCCACCCCAGCAGCTCTCTCCACTGCATATTCTTTCTCCCATACACCCAGACCAACTGGCAGAGGAGGTGGCACTGGTCTCCTGCTCTCTCCCAAATGGAGCTTTTCCCTCTTCAAAGCTACCTAACTTCACTCCTTCCACCTTTGAATTCCATGCCGTCACAGTAACCCATCCTATACAGTTAACCATTGTTGTTCTCTACCATCCACCAGGCGCCGTGGGGGACTTCTTGGAGGAATTAGATAATCTCCTCTCACACATCCCTGAAACTGGCCCTCCCGCTGTACTTCTCGGAGACTTCAACCTCCAGACAGGGAAGATAGACGAACTAACATCACCGCCTTTGCTTTCTCACTGTCTCCGTCCCCACCGACTCATAAAGCTGGCAATGTCCTTGATCTCATATTCTCAAGGAACTGCGCTACTTCTAACCTCTCTGTAAACCCGCTCCACACATCCGATCACTTCTTCATTTCATTCTCTCTACCCCTTTCCAAACATAACAAACTAATCTCTTCTCATCCTGCACTTGTCCGCCATAACCTTCACTCCCTCTCCCCCTCTACCTTTGCCTCGTCGGTGCTCTCAGCCCTCCCTTCCTCTGACTCGTTCCAACTCCTGCCTCCAAACTCTGCTGCAGAAACTCTCCTCTCTACTCTCTCATCCACTCTGGACTCGCTCTGTCCTCTCACATCTCGGCAGGCTCGTCAGTCCCCTCCTGCTCCCTGGCTAAATGATGCACTGCGTGCTAATAGAACCGTCCTTAGGGCAGCAGAGCGGAAACGGTGGAAATCCAAACACCGTGACGACCTCCTAACCTATCAGGCTCTCCTCTCCTCTTTCTCTGCTTCGATCTCTCAGGCAAAAAGCACTTTCTTTCAAGATAAGATCCAATCTTCCTATTCCAATCCTAAAAAACTATTTTCCATCTTCTCCACCCTCTTGGACCCTCCAAAAGCCCCTCCCCCCTCCTCACTTCTGTCAAGCAACTTTGTTACCCACTTTGAAAAAAAGGTTGATGATATTCGCTCTTCTTTTTCTGACTCACCTTTACTCACCGCTGGGTCACCAGACCCTTCTTCCACCAACACACTAACCTCCTAACTTCTGGTCACTTTCCAAACAGTCTCAAGGAGGCAAGAGTAAACCCTCTCCTAAAGAAACCCACTCTCAACCCGTCTGATGTTATAAACTACAGGCCTGTCTCTCTCCTCCCGTTCCTGTCTAAATCACTTGAACGCGCTGTCTTTAAACAACTCTCCTGTTATCTCAATCAGAACAACCTTCTGGATCCGCACCAGTCTGGTTTCAAGGCAGAAAACTGAAACTGCTCTCATTGCTGTCACAGAGGAACTGCACACTGCCAAAACTGCATCCCTCTCCTCTGTCATCATCCTGTTGGACCTGTCTGCTGCATTCAACACGGTGAATCATCAGATCCTCCTTCGCACTCTCCAAAAACTTGGAGTTTCAGGCTCTGCTCTTTCCCTCCTCACCTCATACCTGAAAGACCGTACCTACAGGGTGACTTGGAGAGGGTCTGAGTCCGACCCTTGTCAATTAACTACAGGGGTCCCTCAGGGCTCTGTTCTTGGTCCCCTCCTCTTCTCCCTGTACACAAACTCGCTCGGATCAGTCATTAGCCCGCATGGTTTTTCTTACCACTGCTACGCTGACAACACCCAATTAATTCTGTCCTTTCCCCGCTCAGAGACCCAGGTCGTCGCACGCATCTCTGCTTGTCTAGCTGACATCTCTCAGTGGATGTCTGCTCATCACCTCAAGCTCAACCTTGACAAGACTGAGCTGCTCTTCCTTCCGGGAAAAGATTGTCCCACTCTTGACCTAACAATCAACATCGGCACCTCAGTTGTTTCCCCGACTCAGACTGCAAGGAATCTGGGTGTGACCCTAGATAACAACCTGTCCTTCACTGCAAACATCGCTGCTACAACCCGTTGCTGCAGATACACGCTTTACAACATCAGGAAGATACGTCCCCAGCTGACTCAGAAAGCGACTCAGGTTCTGGTCCAGGCTCTCGTCATCTCACGCCTAGACTACTGCAACTCCCTCCTGGCTGGTCTACCTGCATGTACCATCCGACCTCTGCAGCTCATCCAGAATGCAGCGGCTCGTCTGGTCTTCAACCTTCCAAAATGTTCCCACACCACGCCGCTCCTCCGCTCACTTCACTGGCTTCCGGTAACTGCTAGAATCCACTTCAAGACACTGGTACTTGCTTACCATGCTGCGAATGGATCTGGCCCTTCGTACATCCAGGACATGGTTAAACCGTACACCCCAGCGCGTGCACTACGCTCTGCATCAGCCAAACAACTCGCTGCACCCTCGCTGCGAAGGGGACCCAAGTTCCCATCGGCGAAAACACGTGGGGTTGCTGTCCTGGCTCCAGGATGGTGGAATGAGCTTCCCATTGACATCAGGACGGCAGATAGCTTGCACATCTTCCGGCGCAAACTGAAAACTAATCTCTTTCGACTCCACTTCGAGCGATAGAACTATTAACGAAGCACTTATATACTAATAAAGGACTGGCTTATCTAAAGCCAGTTGAGTAGCACTTGAAATGTTTGGCTCTATGAAACCTGATGTACTTATATGATTGTTTTCTTCAAGGTTGTGTCTTCCTGGTCGAATGTACTTATTGTAAGTCGCTTTGGATAAAAGCGTCAGCTAAATGCAATGTAATGTAATGCATGATGCATTAGATTTATTATATATAAAAAATAATACTTATTTACCAATACTATAAAACCCAAAAGACAGGCCTTTCTTGTGCCACTGTTTGAATATGATCCATCTTCCTGTGCTGACTGTAAAGTTAAAAGACAAGATGATATCATCAGTCTTCAAATCATACTGAAACTTCATTCCTTCCCCTCGATAGTTCATTGTATCCAAATGTGTTAAAATAAAATGTTATAAACAGTTTGTATTTGGCAAGTCCCTGTCCCTGGCGGTTTACACTTTGGATGACATTTGGCTGTTCAACTAGTGCAGGCACTCTGTGTAACCACTTGTGTATACATCATTTTGTTATGATCCCTGGAGTTATAGATTGCTGTTTTTTTTTTTACGAGGCTTGTTACAAGTGTAACTTAAAAAAAAAAAAAAAAGATTTACAATACATAGAATAGTTTTTGGGCAAAATCCTTCTCGTTCTTCCTTTTAACAAAAATAAACTGGCATGACCATTATTTCAGTGAGAAGCACAGTAACAGCACTTTATTTTTCATAAATGCTCAAATGAAAAATGAAAACATTAAAACAAATACACACAATTCAAATAACACAAATTGAATAATAACTTTCACTGTTGTGGGACTCCGTATGCTTCCTACTGTCCAGTCTTGTTGAGCAAAGAAACATCAAGTTAGAATTGTAAAAATAGAAAGTGAGAATGGTACAGTCAACGCATAGAGCATGAGGCTGCAGAAAGTTGATGAAATGCCCCTTTAATCTGTGGGGAAATAGCCTGACACCACTATCCTTTCAGAAGAGAAATCATAACAAAAATAAAAATGAAAAAAATAATCAGTGTTAAAGCAAAAATAAATCAAATGTTATTTCATATATAGATATATTATTTTGCAAAAAAACTAGGTTTTTATAAAAAAAGAAATACCAGCCACCAAAGCGACAACTATCGTTAAGCATACCAATGTAGAACATATGAGGTTACCTTACACACAGGTAATAGCAAATATCCAGGGGTACATGTACGGAAACGTCTGTCCAAACATGTCTAAAAGACTGTACAAATATACATTAGCATCGCGGTGTTACTACATGAAAAATGATGAATTATCTGGCCAGCTTAAAAAGCTTAACCTCACAACAACTCAATATTTTACACCACGCTTACGAGTTCAGTGGCTGAATAAAAGCTCCTCATCTCAATGTAATAAAGAATATAGAAGGCAAAAAACGTCCTATTTGTTTGGTGTGACTTCTCCAGTGTCAAACATTGAAACTTTTGTTGACAAATCTTTACATCTTCCCTAGCTGCTTGTTGAGCCTATACAATTCATTGGATGGCTTGTTTTGATTTCTCTCCTCATCGCTCCCTCCTTCACAGATACCCGATGTGACCGGGCCGTGTCCTTCAGTGCAGGCGAGGCAGATTTGTTGGCGTGGATCAAATCTAAAAGTTTTTGATTCAGACCTGCTGTTTGCCCAGCTGGGCCCTGTCCCTCCTGCTCCTCGCCGCTGATGGTACAAACTTGGGAATAATGATAGGTAGAGAGTCTCTTCCTTTGGCAACCTGTCTCTCTGAGCCCTCCGTGGGTCCGAAGCCGTTCGCTACATGTGCCTCCTCCTCATCTTCGTCGTCCTCGTCGTCGTCGTCATCGTCTTCGTCGTCATCCTCTTCGTCTGACAAGTCGTCTAGATCTGAAACTATCTTAGCACCTGTCCCCGGCTCCATTCTCTTGTCAGCTCCAGCAAGCTGTTTGTTTCCATGGAGACGTACCTCTCCCTCTCGCTGCTTGTTATCACTCTGCTGCTCGTCCTCCTCGCTGTCAGAGTCGATGGCGATGGGCTCCGACAGGTCTAGAGGTATTTTCTGTGCTAAGGTGCTGTTGATTGTCTTGGTTTGGTCTGTGCTGGCACTGTTGGGTTTTGGTGCAGATGGCGCTCCTTTGGTACACTCCGCAGATCCCTTCTGTGGGGGGGCCAGCCCACCATTAGCAGCTGCAAGCTCCCTATGTTTCCGGAGAGCCTGCTCTGACACCCCTATGTGCGTCCTGGAGGTCCGCCCCTTGCTCGGCTTGCCCTCCAACACGGTGTCCTGCACGATGTCCAGCTCGTGGCTCACTCTGCTCAGCTCGTGCATGCTGAACCCGAGAAACACGCCAGGGTTCTGGCTTTCACATTCCTGCACACATTTCCTCCTTTTGTTCACAAAGTGGCTGGAGATGTCCGACTTCCACAGCCACAGATTGGCTGCCAGCTTCTCCACCTCTCGCTGTGTGGGATACGGTGCTTGATTGAAATACTGCGTTAGGAACGCCTTCCTGGATTCGTACGAATCGTTTTCATGCCCTTTGGGATCAAGCGCCAGAATTACAGGTTCATCTGGGTCTTCTACAAACGTAGATGGACCGTTGTCCCGTGGGTTGGCCCTTTCTCCAGGGGGCTTCCTTCGTTTTGGCGCACTGCTGTCAGAGCTATCAAAGCTGGCCCGTTTCTGAGTGCTGCTCGGGGCCTGGCTGACCCGAGGCGAGTGAGCCGCCCGGCTCTCCTGCCCATTTTGGGTCTTCCCTACACCTCGACAGTGCACCAGGTGTAGAGTGATGGTGGAGGCCGTCATGTTGCTAGTATAAACCCCCAAGCAGTGAATACACTTGTAGGTCAGTTTCTTTTCAACAGGGTGGACAGTCTGGATCACCTGGTGCCTCTCTCTCAGGTGGTGGGCCAGTGAGTCTGAGATGGGGCCCTTGAGGATAGAGAAGCAAAGAGGACACAGCGTCTTCCCCACGTCCCTCTTGTAGGGCACAGATGCCTGTGGAGCACTCTTGGTTGGTGCACTGTCAGATCCCCCTGAAGCTGTTTTGGGGGGGTGCAGAGGCATTAACCTCTTGCCTGATATTAGGGAGGCAGACAGAGCTGAGGATGCGGAGGTGTTGTTGTTTTGAGCGTGAAACGCCACTGACTCCTCGGGAGCGTCTCTCATGTTGTAGGTAGTGACAATCAACTGAACATTCTTGGGATTGCCCTGCTGCAGAGTGAGGTCAAAGGTCAAGGGGGAATCTGTGCGTGGGCCCACGGTCTCATCGGGGTGCGCCTGCCGCATGTGGGACACCATCTTCTCCACGTCGTTGAAGCTGGCGCGGCAGTGCGGGCAGGACAGCCCGTGGATCAACATGTGGTTCAACAACGTGTCGCTGGGCAGATAGCGGTTGCAGTACAGACACTTGCTGGTGAAGTTGTGGATCTTCATGATGTAGTTGGCAACAGCTGGCACCTTCTCTGCTTTGTGCTCCTTCTCAAAGTGAGCACTGTACACGTTCTCCGGGAAGAGCTCGTTGCAGATGGTGCAGATTTTCCACTTCTGGGTGTAGGATGTGCCGAGGACTGAGGAGCCGCTTTTCTTGGCCGTGACGGAGGCTACGGTGGTACCTGCCGCCTGGACCCGGGATCCCAGAGAGTTGGATTTGAGTGAAGAGGCGTTGAGCACAACAGGACTCCGCAGGCCGCTGCTGGAAAGAAGCTGCTTGGCTGCATGCGACTGCTGGGGAACAGAAACCTGGGCGTTCCCCGGGAGAGTCACCCTCACCTGCTGGCTGCCGATAGTGAACGACTGACCCTTTAACCTGACATCATGTTTCATCCCCGTTAGGAGACTCTGAGCATTGAAGCCCGCCTTTGATGAGATGATGACTCTGCCCAGCTGGGAGGCAGGAGACCTGGTGGTGGCCATGACTGCACCTTTAGGGCCCATCCCAATGATGGTCTTGTCTCCGTGGGTTTTGGGCGGGACCATGATGAGGGGTTTGGGACGGGGGACTATCACACTGGTGTGGCCGATCATGGCGGTCACCTGGTAGCCAATCCTCTCGTGGTCCTCGATGACGTGTTGGACGAGAGCCTCGTAGGTCCGCGGGACAAAGAGACACTTCTTGCAGTGAATCTGGTTACTGTTCACACTGTTTGTGTTGTTACTCTCTGTGGAACCATTCTGAGTTTTTGCCTTCTCTCCCGGTTTCACAATATAGGGCTGGGCCACTTGTTGGAAGTGTTCCCGGTAGATGTGCTTGCGCACCACATTGTACAAAGGGTCCCTGTAGGTGCACTTCTTGCAGTAGTACACCGCCTGTTCCACGCTGTCCCCGGTCCTTTTCAGCACCCCGTCTTTCATCACGAGCCCACCGGCCCCCACCACCATTCCACCGGGGCCCTGCCGCAGGGCGTTGTTAGGCATGTGGAACAGTTTGATGTGCGTTTCCAACGTCTTTTTGTTGCCATTGTAAGTGCAGTAGGGACAGTTGAGCAGAATGTTGTTCTCAAAGTCCTCGCTGTGGACGTTGCGGAAATGGCTCTTGTACGCCGAGAAGTATTTGGATGAAAAGAGGCAGCCGGTGCAGCAGAAGGGCTTTGATCTGTAGTCCTGGAGACACAGAGGTGGGAAAAGGTTTAGACTTGACAGGTTTTTTTGTCTCCAGGGTACATCCTTCTTTTTTAGAGTAAAATATAAGCACTCTCAAGGTACCTAAACAAAAACGTTACAGATTCTTGAAGTCTTAAACACATTATGAATAATAAAGTAGAAACCCTTTCTTTATACCCACAGCAATCAATGTTTATTGTCCCTTTATTTATTTTACCAGCTGCTGACTTTGATTGTTTTATGTGATCATTATTATTTACTGCTTAGCTAGCACAGGTCTGCTGTCTGGTGTGAGATGTGATTCCTTTATTTCAAGTACTTAAATATTTTAGTGAATAAAATATACGAGTCATTGTATAAATTAAACTCCGGAATGTGTTGAAAATAAAGCATTTATCAAAGAGTATATTTAAATTCACACATATACGTTTCCTAAAAAACATAATGTTCAATTATTTAAATTATTATATTATGTTAAATATAATTGGTCAAACACCAAGACTATTGTATTGTACCATTATGTATTTGTCTCTGTTGCTGTGGTGCAAGTATAACATTTAGTTAAAAATAGATAATAATATCAGTGGTCCAAAAAAAAGAGACATTTATGTGAGAATGCGAGTGTGTCACACACCTGGACTTTGGTATGTGATGGTTCCCACATGCACACATCTTCCCAGCAAGTGTGCTTTATATAAACCTCCGGAGGAGTATAGGCTTTGAAGTCCTAAAACAAGAAGGCAGAGAACATTAAAACGTTATGATGATAAAGCAAAAGGCACAATCAATGAGGAAATATTCAATTTCAAAGATTCCTGCAGCAAACGACTGCCTCATGGGCACACACTAGGCAAGTACATTTTGTAAAAATGTCAGTGTTCTTCGTTGGGTGATGCCAACCTCAGCTTGCTTTAGAGATGTTTATGACAAAGGGGTTTCTGGGTAATTGTAGGCAACAGATTTGTTGATGTGCACAAATCCAAAGTCTGCCTTTGCTCTCCCGCGTGTCAAACAAAAGCTAAGATAAGATTTTAAAGGGGTGACATTCTTCCCAGATTTATTTTGTCCTCTTGGAAACACGTTTACTTTATGTTGGGGCTGGAAAATAATTCACTATTTTCACTTATGGCCTTTATAATCTTGTGTGCAATTAGATTCTGGCTCGTAGTTCTCATGTACATGAATGACAACAACAAAGTCTGTCCAACATGAGGAGCTGTGAGGAGTGTGTTGGTATCTAGGCCTGGATGCTGAATTATGTAAAATCTTTGGGTTCTGCTTTTAAGCCGGAGAAGCATATTTCTCCTGACCTACGTGTGATACAAAAGAATGAGGACAGGGTGTCAATGGGGGTAAAAACATTCTGTATATTATATGAGCTCATGTCACAGATTACTACATGTATGCAGGAGTGTGAAACACAGTAATGCTGAACCTGAACTTCCTGTACTGAGCTATCTCACTTCCAAAACTGACTTTACTATCAAAGCAAAACAAACTTCTAACGATGATGCTGGGAATATGAATTTAAGGAACATCTAAGTCATATTTAATCACGTGGAAACTCCGGGATTCACTGTGTGCTACTTAAGGCAGAGTTATTACCTCAAAGGAACAGTAGAATGGGTGTTCATCATTATAAAAGTACCAAAGTCAGGGCACACTCACCTCTACGTGATCTCTACAGAACTCCAAGCCGATGTCTACCAGGACCCTCTTGACATTTTTCCTCGCTTTCCGCAGACTGCCCAGGTTATTGACGGGGAGCTGGAACATTCTGCCAGCCTGAATCGAAAAAGAAAAAAACACAAAGCATCAACAGTTTGACTTAACCTGCCTAGTATAAAGCCTAAAAGTAATCATCTTTTTAAAATTAAATATGAGACTTGTTGGCTTTGATTATTTGTTATAGTATTGGCTTTTGGGCATTCAGACATAGTTATGTTCATTTGTTATTGTTTTATTCAGTGAAACATTGACATGACAGCAGGGGGGCTGCGTCGGTGTTGTTAAAGGTACCGGTGAGAATGAAGGGAGTCCAGTTTGTAACACAAAGCTTATCCGATGCAAAACACATTTTGAGACTCTCGGAGAGGATTTTACGACTCTATAGTTATCACTGAGTGAGGAAGCTTTTTTTACGAACAGCAGCACATATTCATGAATGCGCACAAGAACGCGATGATACACATTCCTACCAATGGTTCACACCATTTCAGGGACTGAGACAAGAAAGTTGCTGCCGGTCCGGCAGTGGCTCAGTCAGTAGGGGCTTGGACTGGGAGCTGTAGGGTAACTATAGAGTCGTTCAAGTCCCCGACCAGACCTAAAATATGGAGTGTGGACTGCTACTTGGAGAGGTCCCAGTTCACCTCCTGCCCTGCCGTGGTGCCCTTGAGCAAGGCACGGGACAACCCCCTTCCCCCCCTCACTCCCCTCACGCTGTGCAATAGCTGCCCACTGCTCCTAGTACTAGACTCCTGGTACTAGGATGGGTTAAAAGCAGAGAACACATTTCACTGTGCGTGCTGTGTGCTCTGCATGTGTGACCATTAAAGAGGGTTTCATTCCTCCCAATTCTAGACAACACAAACAGCAATGGCAGGGTACAAGAAGACTGCTAGCTTTTAAACATGGATGTAAACAATGAACATTTCAAATATTCCAAAAAAGAAACTGCTTAGTTGGCAAATGTTTCAGGATGGACATGAATTCAATATGTTTGTTGTACCTCCAGGTTACACGTATAAGTTGCTTGAATATTAACATGCAGTGCTTTATCACCAAAATGCATTGTTTGTTTAAAAACAAACTCCAGGGCATCTTTAACTAAAGTTGCAACCGGGTGCTCGTGGTTTATTATTTATGAAGAGAAATACAGCTGAGTTTTGCATTGCCTTCGAGCTGTGTACTAAAGCTACACACATTTTGTGTGTGTGTGTGTCAGAGGTTGCGCTAGACTTTTTCGCTTTCCGTTGGACAGGATCGTAAAAGTTCTGTCAAAATCCAGAATGACCCGTCGGCCTTTATACAACTCTGACGAGGGGGGGGGGGAAGCATGCTCGTGAACTGTCAACGGGGGGGGGGGGGGGGGGGGGAAACGACAGTTCACATGCGTGTTATGTATGGCTGCTGCACCTCGCGGGAGCGTGCACAGCCAAAACTCACAGACATTTCAATGATTTGTTAGGTTTAGGAAACAGTATCATTTCCTTTTTGGAGGGCATGCATAACACGGCATAACACCGGAGCCTCGCTGCGGGGAAACTTTGGCGCAGTTCCGAGTTTGTTCTAATCTGTCAAAATGACGGACTGCTTTCAGATTTGTCTGTCATTGTTAAAAAAAATCCGTCATGGACGGAAAATATTCGGTTAACGCGACCTCTGATGTGTGTGAACTATTTAAGTTTTTATTTTATTAAGGACATCTCTAATGGCGCATTTCCACAACAGTATAGTTAGGCCTTGGTAGGCCAGGCTCACTTTATGCTGCATTTCCATTACAGTTTAGTAGCTGGGGCAGTAACTATAGTAACGCAGTGTAGGCGGAGCCGTGACGTCATCTTCAATGAGAACCACAGAAAAACAACATCAGCCGTTAGCTGTTAGCCCTCAGAGCTCACAGCTCCTCATATCTGTTCAGAAACTAGACAAAAGTTAAACAAGTACAAACCACAGACTGTCTGTGTCATGGAGAATACAGTCGCAGCTTTATTTATGTCTGTAGGCCGTTATTGTGAGTGTGGACGGTCGGAGCATATACAACGTTAGAAAACACGCATTTTAAAAAGGTTTTTCGCCTGCCGTCTGTCTGCAGACTTGTCAAAGCATTAATTCATGGTTTTTACTAACCGGTATCAGTATGTTGTTACTTCGGCATCATTTTGAAACGTGTATTACAATTAAATCATGGTCAAATATGTTCATTTTGTTGTAGTTGTAGCCCCCTTGCCGTCACTAGTTTAGCATCTTCAGCCCGGTTGTTGGCCCGGAAAGCACCTGGATTTTGGAGAGCCAGAAAAACTGTGAAAAAGTACCCGTTAGCCGGAACTACGCCTAGTGGAAACGCAACCAAAAATGGGCCGAGTTTGGCACGGCATGCTTAAACCGTGCTACGCGCTGCAGTGGAAATGCGCCATTAAGAGGAGCACCAATCACAACAGAGCTGGCCAGCTAACCAATCAGAGCAGACTGGGCTCTGGTTTCAGACAGAGGGTGAAAAGAGGTGCTGCAGGCAGTATGAGGAAAATAAAGAGCTTTTTGAACATTAAAGCATGGAGACATGTCACAGTGAAGGCAAAAAATACAAATATGAACCCTGAGTCCTGACAATTAGCACAACAGGGCCCCTTTAGTACAGAGGCTGCCATACAATGGCCATATGCAATAAGGAGCAACTTTGGGTTAAGTATCTTGCCCGAAACACATAAACACTTCGACTGCAGGGGCTGGGGTCAAAACCCCTACCTTCCGGTTGTTAGACGACCACACTACCTCACAACCACAATTGGGAATTAGACAGGGATACCATGCAAATAGTAATGCGTGATCATCCCCACCATGGAGCTCAGCTTAATAAGTGAAGGCACCTTTTGCCAGATTAAGTAAGTGCTCTTTAATTCACTCTCCAAAATTGGCCGGTCGATTTCTCCATTCAGATCAGTGCTGCGTGTAGTTAGGTCAAAGGTCACTGATGTAGCATAACATAAAGGCAGCTCAGTGTCAACAAACAGCAGAGTGCCAAACAATCCCTAAACACCTCAGCTCATTTCCCTTCTCGAAAACCCAGAACAGAGAGGGGGAACTGTGTGTGTGTGTGTGTGTGTGTGTGTGTGTGTGTGTGTGTGTGGTTCCACTAACTGTGGGCCGAGTGAGGAGTCATGAGAACAGTAGACATGTCTCCCTGAACGTCTCACTGTCTTCCCTGCTGTCTGTCTGTCTACCATTAAGAAGAAGTGCTGGAGTGAGTGAAAGAGACACCCAGGCCCACTTCCCCTCTCTCTCTGTCTTCCTCCCATTACTTGCAGATGGCGCTAGAGAGCAGCTCCATTATGTAAGCCTCCCTATGCTGTCTCTGCTGCCCCCTTTTCCTCCCTGCCTCGCAATACCATCACAGAATGGCGCCTCCTACTGAGTCAGCAGCAGCCTCTACAATATGTCTGCAGTGGAGGGGGAAGGGAGGGGAGGGATGGGAGAGAGGGAGGGATGTTGGGAGGGAGGAAGGGGAGGGACAGAAGGAGCTAGAGAGATCAGTGAAGGGGGAGGGGGAGATAGGATGAGGTGGAGGGGGGGGGGGCGGGTGAGGGAGCTGGGAGGAAGAGGAGGGAGGATGAGGTGGAGGGGAGGTGAGAGAGGAGGGAGGATGAGGTGGAGGGGAGGTGAGGGAGCTGGAAGGAAAAGGAGAGAGAGAGAGAGAGAGAGAGAGAGGAGAGAGAGAGAGAGAGGAGAGAGAGAGAGAGAGAGAGAGAGAGGAGAGAGAGAGAGAGAGAGAGAGGAGAGAGGACAGAGGGAGAGCGACGGAAGTGGAGGGGGGAGGCAGGGAGGTCGGACAGAGACTCAGAGGAGAAGGAATGGGAGGGAGGGGGTGAGGGAGGGAGGGAGGGTGAGGGAGGGAGATGAGGGAGAAAATGGAAGAGGGTGAGAAAAAAAAGAGGGGGCGATGGGTAGACAGGGAGGGGGAGTGGGAGGAAGGGAGAAAAAAGCCGAGGAGAGGCTGAGTGGGAGGGAGAGAAGGAAGATGAGACTCTCTCTGCTGAGGGCTGCTGGCAGAAAACAGGTCTCCCCCTTCCCCTGTGGGAGGAAAACAAATAGGGCCTACAAACCTTCCACCACAGATTTCCTCACTCCTCCACTGGGACAAGATAACCTATGTTCTGCTTCACTACCCCTCATCCATGTGTACATGTTCACTGAGGGGACAACAGACATATTCACAGCAGAAAAGTTTGGGTTGATTCAAATCCACTGGATTTCAACACCTGTCTGTGGCCCTCAGCAATAAGGGTAGAGCACTCTGAATATGAGGCTCCTATGTGTGTGTGGAAGTGCCCATGATCCTAATCTGACACTTGCCCCCACCAAGTGGCAGTCCTCCTCACCCTGGATCCTACACAAGGTATGAGGGCATCTCAACCCACCTGGCTGGTCATATTCTAATAAGGGGGATGATAGAAAAACGTGCATAATTTAAAGATAATACGTAACATACGCAACAATCTGCACCTGGTTGTGAATAGGTATGATGTGCCACCCACAATAAAGAACTCCCTGTACAGTAGTGCAGCTTTACACTAAATAGTAATTTAGCATTTCTCTTTCATTAAAGTCGAAATACCTGCATGTCGTGGTAGGTTTAGCTGATGTGGGATATAACGGAGCAACTCGTGCAGAGAGGTAACGGTTGTGTGTATGCAATAACCCCTGATCAACATCTGGCAGTATCCATATCGACGGGCTTGTCGGGGAGCTGCTGCCGCTGACAAAGAATGGGGACACATCGCGCTAAGTTAGCATGCTAAGCTAGCCAACTCGCATCAACAACACGGGCTGTTCAAAACTACTGCTGCTGTTTCTGTGCTTATTTATACAAAAAAGAGCTTTCGCTTGAGTTTACCTCAGCAGGCAAACAAGGCTACCGGATAAGTAATTCAACTTGGTTACGTTGACCCCCCCCCCTGACTTAAAGAAACAACGTTAATACACGTTTTATCGACAGCCAAGTTACCTCAGCTGTGACGTTAGTTCACTGCTACACAGGTAGCCGCTGCTAGCTCTCATTTGGACTGTTACAGACAACACTATGACGGACAAGTGTACCTGCTTTCACATCCACTGCTCCCGTTTGAGTGAAATGTGCCACCTCAGGATGACTGAGGCGGCGGTGTATAGATACTTTTCCACAGAGAGCTCCTTAATATCCGTACAGTTGACAACTGTTCGTGGGAGAGAACCAGCAACCCGTCCGTCCGTTGGTCTATCCTCCAAGCCCGACTCTCTCTCGCTGAAACGGGCTATCCTCTTCCCTGTGGTCGGCAAACGGGAACAGAAAGCCTCCCAGGCTCATTAGACAATGAAAACCTCCATTCTTCTGAGTGGTGAGGGCGGACACATGCCCTACTGTGACAACAACTACCGGCAGAGCCACTATTTCAAATAAACGCTCTGAAGTGTTCCTATGACAGCCTGGCAACCGATATGGTTTTGCCCATTCTTGTCTCTGACAGACAATACACATCCAGCCTAGAAACTGCCCGATCCAAAATGGCGCAAATAGAAGGGGCGGAAGTGACATCTACTTGATTAGCATAAAAAAATCTCATTGTGAGATCCTTGCGAGCACAGCTCATTAAACTCTTGATTGATCTGTCAATCAATAAGGCAATTAAGCAAAACCCTTGTAAAAAAAAATCACCTACCTGGACCCTGAAACACGGCGGCGAACCTTTGGTTTCTGAGCTCGAGCCTGTGTGAGGTAAACAACCCAGCACAGTAGTGGCGGGATCCTGCCGACAGCGGGCGTCCTTCTGGTGAGGGTTTTTCGATGTAGGCGCATGCGCAGGCTACATCTGGCTTCCCCCCCCTTCCCTCTCCCTTCCCTAGCCCTTCCCTCCCCCTTCCCTCCCCTGCGGAGGCTCGGATGTACACTGTGCCTCAGCACTCAGCTGGAGAGGTATCTGGACGATAGGTGGCGCTGTACTACACTACTGTTACCGCCCTCCAACCAAACTGACCGGGACTACTTTCCTGCACATTGCCCAGGGAAGGGCCGCAGGACAGCCCTAAAAACAGCACTGCATGTATACAGTGTAAAACTGCATTTAACTGGTTAAGGTCATGGTAGAAGTTTTTCATAATTTGTTGTTCTTCCTTGCCCCATTACACACCCTATCATCATTCACCAAAATGGGCAAACTGATCATAGGTCTGCTATGTGGGTATTTAATTAGCAATGTTAAATAGGAATATGTAACAATTAAGTCACTGTAATCAAAATCTATTATCATTATTTATATATGAAAAGGACTTTTATAGCAAATATGTATACAACTTGATGGACTATTATCAGAATTGATCTCAACTGATAAACATAACCTATGTATATTATACATTTCTTAAAGATTTTTTGAAAGTTTTGAAGAAACGTTTTTTAAACCTATTTATGCTTTTAATATGACAAAGTATGACATCTAATAGGAGAGGTTTCTTCATAAGACATTTTTGGCTTCCAATCTCCTGTGTAATGTAAGCTTTTTCTTAAATTCTTACTGTGTTTGCGTGTATATGTTCAAATACATAAGTAGTAGAGTACAAAGCACAATAAGCCTGGAGCGTTCAGGGCCTGGGGGAGCCACCTGCTCTAATCCAGCCTTGCACACTAAGGTGAGGAGAGAGAAGTTGGATGTTAAATGTCCTTTCAGTGGGACTTGTTGAAATTCATTCAAATATATTCACCCTGCTTTGACCCCTGGATGACATTTTCTTTGGTGTATGTGAGGGAGATGTCTGGCTGTCTCAGCACAGACATCAGCACATGATGCTAATCATGTACTTCAGAAGACCATGAGATGTGGTTAAAATCTCCAAAAAAGCTACAAGTGACTCTCAGTAACTTTATATGTGTGAAACTATGCATAGTTTTACACAATGCTATTTCAGAGATTTATTTTACAGAGGTACTGTATTTCATTTCAAGGCTAAAACACTGTTCATGTTGTTTTTATCTGCATATGCAAGTTAGTTTTGAGAGATGTATTTTCCTAGCAAAATATAACTTTTTTTATTGCAGTACAACCCTTGTACTTTCTTTAAAGATTGATTATAACTAGACATTTGTTTCCCGAATAAGCATGAAAATGCACTCTCAATATTTGTTATAGTGATTCTATTTTTAAACGTAAATAACACGGTAATAACGGTCCCGATGTGGTCCCAACTTATCACACTTGACAGTATTGGCAAACATTATATATTATATATGTTTTTTATATTTATGGGAATTGGGTTAACATTTGGTAGACTTGATCAAAATCATCCATGTCTATGTTTATGGATATAAACAGCCCACTTGCACTTATTTCACGTTTGACGGTGATCAATGAATACCAAAAACAGACTTGGAATTGTTGTAAAAAGAAATATCAGAAAAAACAGATCAAACAATACAAACATTTTAATTGTATACAAACAATCACTGGTGTAGCAGTAAACATGTACTTGAACCCATGTGACAGTTGATTCAGCTGTGCGCAGAAGGAATCATGTCCATGCATCAAGATGTCATTAGAGGGTGATGGGAATGTAGAGCACTATGTGGCTGCAGTGTTCCAGACCACTACTGACTTTATATTTACTGCTAACATGTCTCCCTTGTCAATGGCTGTCATGTCACTGTCTGCCCATGTAGACAAGCAGAGCCTCCCCCCCATTGAAATTCTGATACAACTACTGTGTTTAAGACAGCCACTTCAAAGTCGCGGTAATATGATCTAACTGTGGGATGTCCGACAGAGCTGATCATGTGGTGGCGAAGAGCGTGATCAGTCCTTTCACGAAGGACACAATCTCGTTTCCTCCCAGTTTGGACTCTCCGTAGACCCGATCCACAAAGGAGATGGGAACCTGTTGTTTTGGAGGAAGAAGAGAGAATTTGTTTGTTTTGGTCCAGAATCGTGCACAAAGGTTCACAATGCAGGGGAAAGTCAACCATGTTTCTGTCCAGAGTCTATAGTTAAGTCGTAGAAAACATATAAACACTCAGTGAAAGCCAAAATGCCTTTAAAAGCCCTCAGTGCAGATTTGCAAAACTGTTATTTCTTTATATTTAAGGAAAAATAAGTAGGGGAGATTTTCTTTTATCTAGACAAGGGTCCACTTTCTGAATTTTTTTTAATTTTAACTACATCATTATATTTGCACTCAGTAAATATTCCGCATCCGCAAATTAATATAAAGATTGATTGATGTTCTGCTTTTTTTAAACATGTATCAGATCTGATATTCTTAAATAGATGAATGAATTAGGGCCTCACTTCTCCGATTGTGTAGTTGAGCTGTCTGGCGCGGACGATCATCTCCATCTGAAAGACGTAGCCTTTGGATACGCAGCGCTCCACCAGACTCTCCAACACCGCCTTCTTGTACAACCTGTCATCCGGGAGAGAAAACTGTATGAGTGGGAGAAAATATATCCCCAAAAAAAGTCAGTGTCACACAACACTCGCTCCATGGACCTGAAGCTGCCGGTGAGGTCTGAGGCTCCGGGTCTCAACAACACCTGAGACAGAAAGTTGGCTCCCCGGCTGTGAAGAGAGGAGACAGGAAAGAAATCAGGCCTCCGGTCTGTTGTAAGGGGAAATTGAAAAACAGTTGTTGACTCTCAGCTACCTGATGAGTTTCCTGCGCAGGTCCCAGCCGTAAACACCTCCGTTGCCTTGGTATCGAGTGCCAGACACCAGGTCGTAATCACCTTCCTTCTGCTTTCTGACCAACAGGAGAAAACGGTCTTAAAGGGACAGTACACCCAGGAATGAAACCTGCATTTCTCTAAACTACAGTGCTATTTATCCATCTAGATTGGTTATGTGTGAGTTTCAGAGTGTTGGAGATATCGGGCGTAGAGATCTCTGCCTGCTCTTCAATATTACGGAACTAAATAGAACACTGCTTGAGAAAATAATTTATTTGAAGATCTGTACAACTCTTTATAGAAATCATGAGAAAAATGTGTACTGTTGGTCTCAACTCTTCCTTTAACTAAAGTATTTCGGCACAATTTACCTTTCAACTGTCATGACACAATAGCTAAAACACAACAAAATCACATGATATGAAATTAAAATGTAGTAAAACTTACTTAATAAATTCTGGGATGAATTTGGGCTGAAAAAATAACAAAAAACAACAGGAAAACAGTAAAATAATATGCTGTACAAAATGAAATCACTCAGAACCCGTTATGTTTCACATTCAATTGTAATTATATTAAAGAGCAATGTACATTTTAGGGATGATAGAGAGGAGAGAGTTGACAAAGAAAATAGATCAGTTAAACTCACAATCTATCTACCATCCAAATACTTACTCTAAATCAATTCAGGAATTATTAAAATAATCCGCTCGGGGGTCAATTGTTTAGTTTATATATCGATTTGCATTGACGACAACTAATGTATAAGTCATTCATAATTTTTGTATATTTTTAGGTAATTATGATTGTGAGAAATTATAGATGTGTTCCCCTAGTCTCAGACATCTGATTAACCAAACAATAAATGTATTATAAAAAAAACTAACTGAAAGATTAATAATATTTCATAATAATAAAATGTTAAAAGTCTTCATTTGAACATATTGAAACACACAATGAAAGAAGCTCCACTCACATGATGGGAAAGATCTGCGTCCATTATGATGACGAAGTTCCCAGTAGCATGCTTAATGCCGTGGATGTAAGCAGTGCCTATACAAGGAAAAAGGAGATCATAAGCTAAAGTGACCAGAACGAATACACTAATACACTGCTTTGAACTTACCAAGGCCTAATTTGGTTGCTCTTGGTCGTAGAAGCTGAAACACAAAAAAGAGAAAAGAGTCTGCATCATTCATTTACTTGAACCAACATTAGATAGGTTTACAGTGTAAATCACAAGTAAACAATGACGTCGTTAGTCACTTCTTACACAGTACTCAAAATAATATTATGTTTAAGTGAATAACCAGGATCCATCACTGAGAGCAGGGATTATTTACGTACTATCTTATCTTCTCCATAGATGTTCTGTAACTGCTCTGCCACCTCCAGCGTCCCATCAGGGCTACCGTCGTCAATGACAATGATCTCGTAGTTGTAGCCACTGTACAAAGAACAACGTCATTCCATCAAGCTAAACAAACCTGCGATAGTGCAAACTTGTTCATAAACTTGAAAATACATTAACCCAAGTTTAATGTCACTGTTAAAAGCTGTCACATTCATACTCTGGTTGAATGACAGCTCATCACTCACATTAGCTAATGTTACCAACGTAGCTAGCACTAGCCGAGCAGCTAAACCAGCTCTTCGGAACTCACCTTTCACCGAAATATTTCACCAGAAGCCATACTATCAAAGGGAGGTTTTCCCTTTCGTTGTAGGTAGGTAATAGTATTGAGTATTTGTCCCCACTATCCCGCTTTGGCTGCGAAGCTTTTCGGCTGGCCATGGCGACGTGAAGCTATGGTAACCCCACCGAGTGAAGTCAGAGAAAGTGCCCCTACATCCTGTTTGTTACTTTCAAGAATACATAGAGTATCAGTATCAGACCTGAACATACGTTTAACTTAATCAGATAAT